AAAATGTGATTCAAGTCCACCTGTAACCCCTACTCGAACAGCGACGCCTCATCATATCTATCAATCCTCTGCAAGTATTCACAATCAATATCGACTCAATACCACACCTTCGAAAACAAACACTCCTCATCTCGACGATAATACTCGACATCCCTTGTAAGCATTGACAACATCGATGAACGTATTCTCGAATGAAGAATTTTTAGTTCCAATCCTTCTTCTCGCCATCTTGCATCGTTAGCTCATCAAGATTCTCCTAGTCCAATAAGTTCGCAAAACTCAACGTCAGGTGATGATATTTATAATCGTACTCAACTGCATAATAAAAAGAAAGGTCTTCGAAATTCACTCGGTCGCCTGTTCACACGAAAACCAGATTTGCCTGATAACAAACCAAACTACGATACTCTTCAACAACCAACTTATACTAACCACGGTAGAATACATCTACCTTTTATTTAAAGATTCGTCATGTTGCTTATTGTTTAGTTTCACCTGTACCGACGGATAACAATGAAATTCTCGAGCCGACAAACACTTCAGTAATCAGTTTAAGTACTACTGAATTCGACCGGCGATTGAAAAAGAAGTATAATTCAACGATAAACTCAGATTTTCAATAGTGAGTAAATCTGTATTTAGACAAGAACTACTCGAAGAAGTCATTCGAAATAAGCGATCCTTTGCCTCGTGGGATGGCGTAACAGTTGTTGCCTGGCTTGAAGTATGCCGTTCGACTTCCTTTCGTTTGACATTACTCTATTTCGTTTTTCAGTTATGGGTTAAAATGCCTGCATGGTATGTTGCTGCATGCCGAGCCAACGTTAAATCAGGTGCTATTATGTCCGAATTAAACGAAGAAGAAATTCAACGACAAATTGGAATCAGTAATCCATTACATCGATTGAAACTACGATTAGCTATTCAAGAAGTGTTAAACTTAACTTCACCTAATGGTCCACGAACATCAGTTACTGTAAGAAAAATGAGAACGAAACGATTTGTTAACTGATGTTCTTGTTCTTAGCCTTTAACTTTTGGTGAAATGGACCATGAATGGATCGGTAATGAATGGTTACCAAGTTTGGGCTTACCACAATATCGTTCCTATTTCATGGAATGTCTCGTGGATGCAAGAATGCTCGAGCATTTGAATAAGAAAGATTTGAGTAAACAACTAAGAATGGTCGATAGTTTCCATCGGTAAGTTCCAACATGATTTATAAGCAGACATAGATTAATCAATGTTCATCTAGAACAAGTTTTCACTATGGTATTATGGTATTGAAACGTGTTAACTATGATAAAAAGGAGATTGAGCGAAGACGCGAACAATTGATCACTGAAAATCATGATGTTATCATGTGGACAAATGATCGAGTTATTCAATGGCTATCGTCGATTAGCGGATTGAAAGATTATGCAAATAATTTAACTGAAACGGGTGTACATGGTGGATTGATCGCACTTGACGAAACTTTCGATGCTAATGCGTTAGCGCTTGCTCTGCAAATTCCAAGTCAACAAACAATCGTAAGTAGAAACGAACACAAATCTGCTGGAAAATATCCTTTCCTTGTTTTAGACTCGTCAGATTCTCGAACGGGAATTTCGTCTTCTAATTGCAAATGGTACAGATCGTAAAATGGATGAAGTAAGTTAAAGGATATTTATGCATCTGAATACAAAGAATAAAAGAATTTTTTCAATTCTTTCAGCCAGATAGACAGTTATGATTAAAAGGGTAAATGACCTAACCTTGTACTGATCGTTCTGCTTATCTGTTGACCCAGTGATCACACCTTCTCCTTGCTTTCGTTTAGATAGTAGATCACAGACTAAGGCATACTTTATTTTCAATTTAGAACGATCGAGCAAAACTGAAACGTCATCCGTCATTATTTTCGCGTAAATTGAAACTAAAGACAGTTAACGGAGATATGACACATCACAATGGCAATGATGTGGTCTCAAATATGCCTCCAAATGATGAAGCATGAAAAGAGTGATTGATCGATCGATTTGAAAAACTAGATTTGCTCAGATAAATCTCCTAGCATCAACAAAAAATCTCGAGTTGTTTCTGTCTCTGTACGTGTGTGCAATTTTTTGTTTTGTTTTCTCTGCATTTGCACGATTGTTGTCATATAAATATCTATTTTTTGGTTTTCTTGTTAATGATCAATACGAATATTTGCCTTTCTTTCGTTTGTGTGAGTGGATTTGAACTACATTCGTTTTTTTTTGTCGTTTTCCCTCTGTCGGATGTTTATGCAATAAATTACGAATTCATTATTGGTTTTTATTGACAAAAACCAATAAATACATACGTACTGGTATCATTGAACTGAGTGTTCGCCGGTAGTTTATATGTTTTCGAATGGAAACAACTGCGAATTTGGTAGGTTTTGTTATAGCTATAGTATTCTACGTTGATTATGTGTTAAGAAACCAAACTATTCGATATGTATCTGGCGAGGAGCGTTATTTTGAAATAACTGATTTCTTTTCCTGACGCGATTACGTTTTTTAAACTTCAAAAAAAATTGTGGCGAATTCTGTATGCAGATAATAATGACGATGAACATGGTTAAATAGTAACAGTTCGTTCTTTCATGTACTTCAAAGTCCTAGTTTTGATGACGCACGTCGAATGTCTTCGTTGACTTCGATCACATATGGATGTTGAGGTGATAACGAACTACGATAGATTTCGGCAGCCTTTTCATAGCTCGCCAGTGCTTCTCACCATTCACCCTTCTTCTCATGTATCACACCGATGTTTCTGTAACTACGAGCGATATCTAGATGTTCACGAGGTAGGGATTTCTCCTGAATCTTGAGTGCTCGAGTATAATGCTCCATCGCAAGGTCATATCGTCCGAGGGCATCATATATACATCCCATATTATGATATGACTTGGCTATGTTTGAATGATCAGCTGGTATATGTTTCTTTTTGATATCCAATGATTTCTCATAGAAGACGAGAGCATCCACATACATCTTCTGATTCTGATAGATTACACCAATGTTGTTGTAGAAATGAGCCATGTCTGGATGCTCCTCAGCGTACGCTTCCTCAAACAGTACGATTGCTTTCTTGTAATATTCCAATGCTGTTTTATCATCATTCTTTCCCCGGTGAATCAGACCAATACAATTATACAAATTTCCTATGCTGACATAATCAGATGAGTTGATTTTCATATAGATTTCCAATGATTTCTCGAACCACTCCAAACTAAAATCATAATCACCCTTATTTTGAGTAACCGTACCAAGTGACCAGTATACACATTGAAGTGATGGATCATTCGGTGGAAGTTCATTCAGATGACGCTGCAGCATCTTCTCTGCTAACTCAAACTTTCCCATCCTATATAACACACTAACAAAGGAAACAAAGTCGACATCACCATCACCACCTCCACAGTCCTTCTTCATGTGATCGAACAGCGTCTTCAAATCATGTTCACTATCATCACATAGTTGTATTTCAATCACCCACATATCGTCATCTTGATGAATTTCATCCAAACGAAAGATGCATCCACTCATGAACAGCACCTCGCGTTCAGCTGCAAAATCACTCAATTTACTAATATCAGCAAATGGTTTTGACATCACTACAGCTGGATCAGCATCAATAACAAACAGCACACGATGTAGATCACTCGAACTAGTGAGAAATGTCGATGCTGTCTCTCGATCGAGACTAGTTGAGAAAAAGGAATTGATCGATATAAGTTTACCAATCGATCGTCGTAGGATTTCTAATTCATCACTTGACATCATCTGACCTCGATAAACACAAACAGCTGATGCACATTGATGCTGCTTCAGTTGCTGATAAATGTCGTTGATCACAAAACGAAATAAAAACAGAACCTCAATGTTTTGTACTCGCAGTGCCTTGTTCACCATTTTGTACACAAACGACCGACGACTATACCACCACAGTGCCTTGTCACTTGAATATTCTTGCTCGAATTCACCTACAAGAGCCAGTTCACTGTGATTGTCGTGAAAGTGTTGTTTGCAAAGTGTGATGAGCTGATGTTTATCTTTGTCATTTGGTTTCAATCGAAGAAGAACATCGATGAGAAGTGAGTAAAGAAAATGACCATTGATTTCAGTTGTGGACTGATCTGAAGTGCCAGTTGCATTGGAAATATTGATCGAGAGTGGTTCTTCAGTCTTTGCTCGACTTTTCTGATCGACTTTGATGTGATTGATCAGATCTTTGGTTCGTGTAATCACACGTTTCACCTAGAAAAGATGAGATAAAAATGAGTGTATGACATAAACTAGAGTGGTGTAGTACCTTGGTAAAGCTGTTTGCCCATCGTTCATGTGCTTGTTTATTCACACAATAAACATAAATTGCAGAGACTTGTCGAAGTGAATGAATTTGAGGAACTAGTTCTCGACCATATTGACCACTGACAATGAGAACAAGTCGATCTTGTGAAGAAAGTGAAGTGACATAGTCATGACATTGCTTTTTGTCATGAAATGTTTTGAGATGATTGATGACTTGTCGAAGCTGTTCTTCCGTTTTTACGTTCTCTTCTATTGAATCGACCTGAGCATCGAGCCAGGCGAGAGAAAATGTTTCTAAATTTTCATTAGTCAAAGTAGATGCCACACTATTCGTACCTCCCATACTTTTTTGTATCACGGCTCTAAAACTAGTAATGGCAATATAAAGCCGTTCTTATCTATGAGTGTGTAAATAATGTGAAACTTTAAGTTGGAAAAGCGCAGTGTAGATTTGGTTTTCTGTTGTGTGTGTTTTTAAGATAGTGAATGATGACTATTGACAAAGATATCGGTTGAGTGGAAAAAAAACCAACACAAGTTCTCCGACAATAAACGAAAATCTTGCTATTCCTTCGATTTATATATCTTCATGATGTTACAAAAGTTCATAAAATCTAATTTAAAACTAAATTCAATCTTTTATTATAATTCGATATCGAATCAAGAATCACTGCTCATACAAGTGTGATATCGGGCGAGATACACAATCCATTGATTCTGTTCACATATTGTCGTGGTATATCATATACAGATGACATCGATGGATGTTCAGAAAACTCATGTATATGATACTGTTCAAGTAAACCATTTCCTGAAATAATATTTGATTCAAATGGTAGATGATTTTCCGATACATCCGAGCTTCCCGAATAACCTTCATCATCCCGTCCTGGACTCAACGATGAAACAGGTGGTGATGCCTTCTGTATAATATAGATTGGTATACTTGCAGACGACGGTGACAATTCATAATCATCATGTACTCTCAATTTTGATACACTGGCAAATGGATCGTATTCTAGTACAGAAATATATAAAAGATTCGATTGCTAATGGATGACAAAAGAAAGTGCACTTACTATTGTAACGACTCTTCTCATCATTGCTATAACTAGTGCTTGACACAGATGATGCTTTCTAAAAGTAATATAACAAGAAGTAAAAATCTACCAAAGCTTTCAATGCATCTAACCTTTCTACGAGGACATAGTTGGTTAAATCGATAATGCTTTTCTTTGAGAATAATGATTCCTAGAATGATAATTCCAATAGCAACTAGAACACTTAAAACGATTGGTATGAGGGTAACCCATTGTGATTGATTTAACAACAGTACAGATTCATCGTTGTCGGTTAGTTCAAGTACAAAAGTATCTTGAAAATTGACTTGTTGATTCAATGCTATGTTGAATAAGTATCGACCTCGTGGAGGTTTGACTAATGAGGTTATTGTACAATTTGATAGCAGCTGAAAATATTTTTCCATTACTAATTGCGATCGACAAAATGTGGAATTAAAAATATGAACTGATGAGAATTGATTTCGATTGATTTTCAAAACTTTATTCATCAGAAATGGAATATTTCCATATTGATCAAGTATCCGAACATAAATCTTCACTTTAAATTGATTATTAACAAATAATCGTAGCATGTAGATACTTTGTTCGATTCGGTAAAGTTTCTTCATGATAAATAAATCGCCCGTATGAGAATCAATCGAAAATTTATCATTCTCATCAATAGAATACACAATTTTCCCACAAAATTCATTTGTTATTTTTCGCATTAATAACGTTTTTTCAGGAAGGCTTTCTTTAATATCAATAATATAATTCTTCTGCTGAAACGATAAATTGCAAAGGTATTCCGCTGATTGCATCCGAAATTGATATGTTTGATTGGTGCATAATGTTGGTTGATCATTATCACACGACGTTAATAATAAATAATAATGATCCTGATGAATTAACTGTGAATTATTTCGTGTTGATAAGATATAAGTGATATCAGTCTTAAACTGACGTATGAGTTGAATTTGAAAATGTTCTGTATCGTTTAGAGTTAAACTTAGTTGATTTGTTGATTGGTCCGGATCTTTTATATTGATCGTCGCGAATGGAGTAGACGACGAATTTTGATCGTATTTGATGATGTTTAAATCATAGATAACCGAAGGGTAGACAATGAGATTTATTTCTGGTGGATTGTCGTTGATATTAACAATGTGAACGATCAATTCGCTGAATGAAGATGTAGCAATCGATGGTGAACGTGCTTCGAGAGTGAATTGATACATTGACATGGTTTCATAGTCAACGGGACTTAATAGAATCAATTCACCAGTTAAAGAGTTGAGATAGAACATTTTATTCGTATCTCCATGAAGTTCGTACTGGATGGAAACGGAAGGAGAGGCAATTGCTCTGATCAAGCCAATTTTCGTATGGATTGGTGTGGATTCCGAGATGTAAATTTCGTAAGACTTTTGTTCGAAGCGAAGAAATCTTGTCGCATGAATTGAAGAAATGATAAAAAGAATATGAACGAGCGTCATCTAAAATGAAATCAACAACAAAAAAAAGTAATATTCATGTCGACATTGTCTGTATGTGTGCGAATGATATTTAATAACAATCGACAACTGTGTCTTGTTGATCAACAGAGATCTCACCTTGATCTGCGTGTTAATCGCCTGTTACGATCTGACACAATGCATGTGTATTTGTTCATTAGAAGGAAGTAGAGAGGAAAAAACGACGAGGAGTGAGGCCATTTGTCTATGATGAGAAGAGAACAAAACTGAAGGATGTAGCGATGAGGATGATGATAAAAAGAAGACTGACACCTGTGACTGTAACTCACCGTCGATTGTTTTGCATGTAATTCATTGAACTAATCATATTAGCCGATGGCATTCAACTTTATTTTTGTTCGTTAATTGATGTGAATAAATGAGGTTAGACTGCTGAGCAATGTAGAAATGTTGTTTTTTGTTTCTGTCCGATTGGAAAAGTTTGAAGGGAAATTATTTCTTCGACTAGGTCAAACAAGAGTGTATCCTGTTGTCTCCAGCAAAAAAAGGGAATGATTGTTCATCGAGTTTCTATTCATTGTTCATTATGCGTGTTACAGGTCTATGCGATCTTGTCAGTACTATTTTGAACATGTTCCTACGCATTTAATTTGTCGCCAATACTGACATGAATAGGATTATGAATCACTTGATGCTTATTTATAACACGATTGTATTGTCGTGCCCTGTGTCTTTCCTTTCTTTCTCTTTCGCTCCATTATGAGTGCTCTTATTAGTCTAATTGTGTTCGAAAAGAACGAGACAGCCAAATGAATTTGTTGAATTGTACATTAAAGGCTCAAGAGAAAAAGACACTTGTAATCTCCTACTGATGATAATGATCAATGAGCCTTGTATACAATTCCTCGCGACACTATTCAGGCATTGTTTATAAACATGAAGTTAAAGATGGAATATCTCCTCGAGTTTCGATCGCCTTTCTCTTCATATATGTAAAAGGTTGGTTGACAAAATAAATGAAGAATACTGCCTTCAAACACGTCTTGTTTGATCGAATTGCAAAAGTCATCATGCTTCACTCATTGTTTGTTCTTTCACAATTAAGTGCTCGAAACAGTATAGAGCAGGGGAGAAAAAGAGCAGCAGCAATGATATGTGTATCTTTCAATGATGAAAAATGTGCTGATTATCAAAAGCCTTTCTGTGTTGAAATGACATGTCTATCGATTAATCAAAATAAATGTTAGAATGAACTCGACGAACGAGAATCGATTATTCTTCATTGAAATCATTCGCTCAAAATATTGTGGTAGGATGATAACGATGCGATGATCGAGAAGAAATCTCGTTTTCTCTTCGACAATGTCGACGATCGGATTGCATCATAGATAGATAGATTTCCAACGAAGTTGAAATCCAATCGCTCGTAATGATGATGAATAGAGATAAGGCTGACGACATGACGATTTATAAATTGAAATCAAGAAGACGAATAGGAAGAACGAATAAGACAAAACAAAAACAGAAAAGAAATGACGGAGTTTTGTGTGAACGATTATCCGTACAATTTGGATTATTGGAATATTTCTTCACAAATCAATTATTCGCCAAATCATTCTCAATTTGTTGAACTAGCAAATGTACAAAATGAAATATCGATAACGAATGATGTACACACAAATCATTGTAGTCTTCCACCTCCACAAACTATCGTGTATAACTTCCAAATACCAGAAAATCCTTCTAAGTATGAGAAAGACTTGCTGAGTTTGTCGGAAAGGTCAATATCGAATGAGTTATTTTAGATTTCACACGATTTCCAATGTTGATACACCGAAATACCAATGGTAAGTTTGCGGTAAGAAAAATTGATTCCACTGTCGACATAATTCATCGATTTTAGTCTTGTTTGTAATGATTTCTCTACATCGCATCATTATGGTGTTCGAACATGTGAGGGTTGTAAAGGCTTTTTCAAAGTAAGCGTTTCATCTCGCTTTGAAAACAATTAACTGAACTCTTTTCTAGCGAACCGTACAGAAAAATGCGAAATATGTTTGTCTATCGGAAAAGAATTGTCTTGTAGATAAACGTCGCCGTAATCGTTGTCAAGTAGGTGAACAATTTTGTTCGCTATTTGACAGTTGTCGAACTTATCTGTTCGTTTTCTTTCTAGTGGTGCCGATTTCAGAAATGTTTAGCAGTTGGAATGATGAAAGAAGTTGTTCGTACAAACGAATTAAAAGGCCGTCGAGGTCGTCTACCATCGAAATTTATTCCAAACAAAACGATTGAACAATGATATGACTTTTTCCTAAATAAATTAGAGGAGAACGCAAAAATATATCCACTCTAATCCGACAAGAGAATGAACCATAAATTAATAAAGTCTTCCAGTTTACTATAAATAGCCCGGCTCACGTCATTCTTATGCTCAGAATAGTTTCATTCGAAGATAAAGTTGTATCGAGGAAACATAAGCCTCTTTTGAATTCATTGTTGTTTTCTATCCAAAGAATTGTTGTTTCATTATCTTACAGATAAGTACAGTTCTTCCTTTTTTTTTGTGATGAGAACATTATCTTTGACGCGATCGGCATTATCATCGATGGATATAACTGACTCGTATTACACTCAGCTATATTTCCAAGGTAGAAGACAAGAGTTTCGCATTCATGCAAACCAACCGCCCACATTCAATCCGATGACGAGAGAATAGATATTTTTATTTCACCATAACTGTCTCAGTCAGGTTATTACAATATGACATCATCAAATTTTTCAATTCTGTTTTTTTTGTCGTTGTCTGTGTATAAATAACACGAGCTATTCAATGATCGAGTTTACAATAGAAAAGAATAAGTATATAAATATTCGCAATCAGGTATGCAACGTTTTTTTTTGTCGATATTTCCTTCTTTTTTTTTTCTTCCATGTTGCGTCTCAATTATATAAAAAAAATGATTGGAATAACAAAAACAAGGACTTTAACCCCCTCAAGTAAGACTAAATAACAGATACAAAACACAGACGCGTGGTGTTTGGCAGATCGCCACTTTGTTTTTTCTGTGCAGTGAAAGAAAGAGAAAAATATATATATANTCAGGTATGCAACGTTTTTTTTTGTCGATATTTCCTTCTTTTTTTTTTCTTCCATGTTGCGTCTCAATTATATAAAAAAAATGATTGGAATAACAAAAACAAGGACTTTAACCCCCTCAAGTAAGACTAAATAACAGATACAAAACACAGACGCGTGGTGTTTGGCAGATCGCCACTTTGTTTTTTCTGTGCAGTGAAAGAAAGAGAAAAATATATATATAAAGACATTCGAGATTCTTTTTGCTTCTTTTTTTCCACCTTCCAATAACTATTTTTTTGTTTGTCAGTCTCGTCGTTCTGTATTCACTTTTTTCCCCCCACGACTTTCTTCCCTTTTTTTATATGTTGTTATTATTGCTCTTGCTCATCTCCTTAGAATCTTGTTTTTTTCTTCTGCTTCGTCTATTCTAACTATTAACTACAGAGAAACTTTGATTTTGATTCGTCAAATCTCTTTGCCATATCCAAGCAAAAAAAAAAGAAAAAAAAACTTATTTATATTTGTTAAAGATATGTCTCACGCGAAAAAAAACAGCGAGTCAACAATACTTTCATGAAAACAAACACGAGATATTAATAGACTATCTCTTCAATTGCAAACAAATCGACTGTACAACAAGTCAAAAATCAGCAAGCGAACTCGTAGAATGTGATCTATGATTATTGCATTTGGCACGTTTGTTCGATTATCGATTCATGATCATCTGCATACGCATTTATCAAAGAGCTCCTGTTTGACTAAAAATGAAAATAGACAGTGTATTATGACATAGGTCAGCGTCTTGTTTCTCGCTCCGAAAGTGTGGCAATGACCGATGTGTTTGTTCTTTCTTCATCGTACCTCATTGAACCACACATTCGCTTGCTCGGTTACTCAACAAATCTCTGCAGAAGATAATAACTAGTTGTGATCTCAAATCATGGGCGTTTTTTGCTTGAAAATTTGTTGGTTGAAGATAGATATGATCTGTTTTTCTAAATATTATTCGATGTGTAACATTGTAGGAAAAAAAAAGAATTTTGTTATGTTCTTTTCTTTTTTCTTCTGCGTTTTTTTTTTCGTTCTCTTCCCATATTGTCAGACGAAGCAAGTGAGGCTTTTGATAGTTTTGATCGGTTACATTTTCTCTTTCGCTTTTCTTTGCTTCCCAATGCGAGAAAGAAAGAAAAGAAAGAACCGAGTGACAGTGACATATCGACGCTTGGAGAAAAAACGAGAAGTACCTATCTAAGAAAGAAAAGAGGAAACATCTACTACTCGCACCATCAGATAGACGCTTGCCTGGTGCAACTGATTCTTTCTCTTCTCGTTCTCGCATTTTTTTTCTCTTCTGTGCGTTCGCTTATGCTACTGTTGTACGACGTTTTGACGTATGTCTTTTTTCTTTTTCTTCGTCTTCTTCTTCCTCTCGTCTGTTGTGTGAGGGTGCTGTCTTTTTCTCTCTCAGTTGTGCTTACAAACGCGATTATTACTCTTTTAGATGATTTAGTCGATTATTTTCATAAAAAAAGGAAAAAACTAAACAACTTGCTCATCAATGGATGACTGGCAAATTCCATCACAACCGACNTACTGTTGTACGACGTTTTGACGTATGTCTTTTTTCTTTTTCTTCGTCTTCTTCTTCCTCTCGTCTGTTGTGTGAGGGTGCTGTCTTTTTCTCTCTCAGTTGTGCTTACAAACGCGATTATTACTCTTTTAGATGATTTAGTCGATTATTTTCATAAAAAAAGGAAAAAACTAAACAACTTGCTCATCAATGGATGACTGGCAAATTCCATCACAACCGACACTACCGCCCACACCATCGCAACAGCAACAGCAAAGAATGTCGATGAATACTATTGGCCCCATGCATAGTTATCATTCAATGCGTACAAGACCTTCACCATATCCAATGAATGAAGTCAAACAACCTTATTCATATCAACAGACATCGATGCCAATGAAAACGAACACGAATTCCGTTAGTTCGCATAGTTTAGAACTTCTAGAATAGATAATAAAACTTTTCTTTTCTTTAGAATGTCTATACTCCTCTTTCTTATCCACCCAATCACATGGAACAAATTCCACATCAACAACGTTTAATCACAGCTAAATCGACATCCGGCCCCATAGCAACATATAATGCTGGTCAACAACAAATGCATGCCGCACGCGCACGTTCAATGCCGTACCCTTCACCTATGATGTATACTCATTCCCCTGCTTCTGTATATCAATGCAATAATACGCCACATATGAATTATCCAAATCAACCATCGTTTCCGCCACCACCACCACCACCAGTACAGCAACAGCAGCAACAACAACAAATGTACTATCAAAATTATTATCCACAAGCTCATCCCATATCTCATCAAGCAAATTCCAATTCAAATAAACATGAGCCAATGAAGAATAAGATCAAACCAAATGCGGATGACTTCTTCTCTTCACCGTCGACATCTTATCATCCATCAGTTTGTTCGAATTCTTACGTCTCACCGCAACAGTTACCGCCCCAACCATCATCGTTATCGTCATCTATATCACAAGAGTACCAAACATTTCCGAATCAATTTCAAATCTTTCCTAGTCCACCAAGTAATCCAAGCACTCCTTATCAAGGTGAATTTAATGCCAATGCAGATTTCGGCGTGCCGTACCATCAAGGACAACCAAGTTCAGTGAATTCGTTGACAGATGCACTATGTCCAAGTGGAGATACAGCTGATCGACAATTGACACCGGGACCGCCGGTAAAAAGAAATTTTCCTTCGAATAAAGTATGTGAATCTTTTTCTCGGTTGTTTTAGAGTGTCGGTACTCCGCGTGTTGCCCATCCTCAATATTCATTTCCACAGACACCTTCGACACCTACAATGTCGAGACTACCCAATGAACAAAATATCGATGAATTAACTGCATTTCTACAAGATCCAGCAAATCTTTATCTAACTGATGACATTACATCTGTAAGAACTGAACTTTGTACGCATCGGACGGGTAGTGATTATCTGTTTTTCGTTTATTTTCTAGACCCTCTTTGATGACATTGAAGTATTGGCTGATACCTATTTAGGTGGAAGAGGTAACAATGATCATCAATCTAATAATGACAGTAGTTTAGACTATGATATTATCTTAAATTATCTTTGTTCGGATGATCTGATCAGTACGGTGTGTCAAAAATAAGACAAAAAAAAAACTCAATCATTCTCTATTTTGATGTGCGATCGTTTTCTTTGCTTTTTCTGTTTAATTGTAAATATTTTCTGAAAAGAAAAAAGAAACTTCTTATTTATTGTATATGTGCTAGAGTTTGTCGTTTTTCTCTCATCATCATCATCTTCATTACTACTATTACTATTCATGTTTTTTCTCTTGTTAAAGAAAAAATATTTTCGTATTTAATAAAAATTAATTCATGAAGATATGTGATCTGTGATTCTCTTGTTGTACACAAGAACAGTCGTTGCTTATCTATATTTCACATGCAGTTATTTACTTTGATATCGACTGTTGATATCTATTCACCTATATAAATAGATTTCACTCCAACGAGTGGCATGCAAAATGTTCCTTATTTTCGCACCTGCTTCCATCAGTTCTGCAGTGTCCCAACAACCGCGTCCATGTCGAACACCACCGCAATGGGAATCATATGTTTTCGATACGAACGATCAACAAAAATCAACAGTCTACGGTCGATTGAGTTATGATGCTATGAACCATCGGGCGTCAAAATGCCTCATACGATCGGATTGCTTTGTACGATACGAAAATGAAATATATCTATGATTTAAATGCTCGTAACTGTACACGTCGTCCGTTAACTCGACCATGGCATGATTTCGACATCCGACCGGATGCTCAATCGTATGGTCAAGCTTACATCGGTACTGGTATGATACCCGAGCTGGATGTCCTGGTTTCACTATGGTGAGAGTACTGTAAATCGTTCTTTCGACTCTAAAGCAGTTTTGTTCATCGGAGTGGAGACTGTACGTCACCGTCCAACGATACTGTTCGAGAGTTTGGCTCGTGGACATATCTTCACTGTTTTCCATTGAATATTGTCCGATACAGTCATAACTACAGACGATCACAAATCACATTTCTAGACATCACGCCAAACATTAGCGATCCAAATGTATTTGTACCGAGAAAGGAACGTCTAACCAAGGAACAGTATTCACTACGGGATATTCTTTTTGGTAAACTCAGTTAAAAATATGACAGACGATTGCTCACTAATACGCCTTTGTTTTTTGTTTGACGTCTCCAGGTGACAGTCCTTAATCCTTTCTGTAACGTCGTCGTGCATATATGCTTGAGTGAAACGATTATGATAATTGATGAATAGTCAATTAGTCGTCATTTCTTATGAATAAAACTTGAAAACAAGTCTCCATTGTCGACAGTCTTTTTTTAGCTAAATGTTAATTTCACTTCCGAAAATTTCGTTTCAGATATAACGGGGTACAGTCGGGTTGTTTAGTTGATCTACGTCAATAGATTAGTTTTATTCGTAATGGATCACTAAAAAAAAACAACTAAAATGGCGAGGTTTTCACAGGGCTAGACTAGACAGTCAAATAAGATGAAGTAAATATAAAATATTGAATTCATTTAGCCGCTTTATCACTAAGACCAGTGACACCGGGAAGATCTTTTCCTTCCAAAAGTTCGAGACTTGCACCACCTGAAATCAATACGAAAGTTCGATTATCTCAAACTGAACATCGCCAATCTGTGTTCATCTTACCTCCGGTTGAAACATGACTCATTTGACTACCGAAACCAAATTTGGCGCAAGCAGTAGCTGTATCACCCCCACCGATGATTGTTGTGCCTTGATTTTTGGTTTGTTCAGCAACTACTTTGAGTAAATCTTTTGTTCCGCTAGCGAATGGATCTTGTTCGAACACTCCCATCGGTCCGTTCCAGACAATTGTCTTGGATTTCTTGACAACTTCACTGAATTGTTTCACGGATTCCTTGCCGATATCAAGACCCATGTAATCATCTTCGATACCACTTTCCTTGGTAGCTTCTTTCGTTTCGGTTGATTTAACGTCTTTAGCAACAATGAAATCTACGGGGAGATGGATTTCGACATTCTTTGATTTAGCTTTTTCGAGAATTTTTTGAATGGATTTTGAGCCTTCTGCGTCGAATAATGATTTGCCAATTTTCATGTTGTCCTTTTCTTTGAGAAAAGTAAAAGCCATGCCTATAAAAGACTTTCTATGAATGATCGTTCGATTTCGTAATGTTTTAAACTTTACCTCCACCAATGATTAAGGCGTTGACTTTATCGAGAAGATTTTCAATCAATTGAATTTTGTCCGAAACTTTAGCTCCACCTGTCAAGAGAAAAACAACCGTTGGATATTTTGCTCCTAGAAAGAACTCACCGAGAATAGCGAGGAACGGACGTTCGGGATTTTCTAGAACTTTTCCAAAATAATCTAATTCTTTCTTCATCAAATATCCTGCAGCACGTTGATCTAATTTGACACCAACAATTGAACTATGAGCTCGATGAGCTGCACCAAATGCATCGTTAATATCTACAAAACGATTGAAGTCGAGTCATCCTTCTCGTAACAAACAGTTGGAACTTACAAACATCACCGAGTTTCGATAAACTTGCTCGAAATTTATCGACTGCATCTTTGTCAGCTTTCGTTTTATTTCCAGCCTTGTCCTTAACTGAACCTTCTTCTTCCAAATGAAATCGAAGATTTTCAAGTAAAAGAACTTGACCGTTGTCAGCTTCACTGGCTGCTTTTTCTACTTCATCACCGACACAATCGTTGAGAAATTTGACATCTTTGCCGAGTAATTTTTGTAATTCCTCAGCAACTGGTTTCAAACTTTCCTTTTCGACGCGTTTGCCATCGGGACGGCCCAAATGTGACATAAGAATAACAGCTTTAGCCCCTTTGTCGAGTGCATATTTGATTGTCGGCAATGCACCTTCAATACGTTGTTTATCTTTCACTTGACCAGTTTCTTTGTCCAATGGAACATTGAAATCAACCCGGATTAATACTCGTTTACCTTTGAGATCAAGGTCTTCAATACTTAATTTATTACTAATACTAGCTTTAGCAGTCGATTCAGCCATTTGTTGAGAGTTTTGATTTCTAGTACGAACGTTCGAGAAAGATTGAAAAATAAGAATAATACTAGGCGCGATATAATGTTTCTGTTCTCTCGGTACAACGTTCGAGGTCAGATTAGCAAAATGTGGACTCGTAGAGCACTAATGCAGACAGAACGAATACAATTGGAAAATGTCGGAGGCCAATGTCAATGTTACTGACTTGGTAATGGTGAAATTGACTGTATGTTTATACATGTTTGAGTAAAAATTAAGAAAAAAGAATCTTTTTTCGTTTTCTCACAAATAATATTCGATCACTTAGAAGTGCACCGACAAAGTAAACGCGAATATCACTGAAATAACAGAAGAAATAGAATTGTTTTCTTTGTAATTTGACACCTATTCGTTAAGTGATATCTTGCTGAACTCAGATATACTTATTGTTTTAGTAATTTATCGAAATAATCAGCATGGCGACTGCTGAAGTCCGACAATCTCATCCATTAGGGTTTTCTGTGCAAACGCCCAGGTTTCAAACAATGGGTTTACACCCCGAAATGTTAACACGCCTTCAAATACAGAGTACACCTAATGTTGGTCCCGGCACATACGAACTCATGCCGTATGGAGATTTCAGTGAGAGAACGCTGGTCAAAAACATTCAAGGACCTAATTGGCAACAAGGATTGTATACAGAACAGATGGCAAAGATTCCTCTCTCATCATTTAAGGAAACATACGAAAGACGTAAAGAAGATGAACGCCGTTTGGGTCCCGGTGCTTATGATATTGATGATTTTCTCACGGAAGCAGATCGAAGACCGGTTTGTCAACGAGGCGCACTCGATCAATTAGCTCCTCGATTCCCAAAAGAACCATCAGTAGGCTAAATCTTATCTTTTTGTTTCTCACAAACTTTATTTTCAAACAAATAGGATAGAGCACCACCACCAGCGACTTACGGTGTCCCTGATGAGAAAATCACTGAAAAATATTGGCAACAGGGTAGTACAGTACCACCATTCGAATGGAGACAGGGTCCTCGATCATTACCACTTCAAGTAAACTTAATTCTATCCGATGATTTCTTTTGAAAAGATTCTTTTTGCGGCTCCTAGGGAACAAAGATAGGTCCAGGCACCTACAATATCAAAAGTTCTATTGATGAATTAGTCGAAAAACGCGTTAGTGACAAAGGACCTTACCAAGTCTTTAGTATCAATCGTTCAGCACCGATCAAAACCGGCCATTATTCTCTGTTAGATACATGGGATCTTCAACCAGATTTTCCATCGAAGGAATATCCAGAATCGATTTCTTTAGCCAAACAAATAGAAAAACGAAAGAAACATGGACTATTCAGTAAACTAGATCGTTTTCAAAAGAAACCGACTGATCGAATCTCAATTGAACATCCAGGTAGATTTCATTCGTAAAAACAACTTGAGTAGACACTGTGGAATATCTATACCCAAGGTTTGGAGCCCAAAAATGTCACTTTTCCTGGTCCTGGCGCTTATGCTACTGTTCGTCCGTGGGAGGAGCACGATTTTCACACGAAGAAAGTTCCATTCAATATGACTGCGTCCCGAAATGACAAACGATCATTTACAAATGCTGGCAGTCAGAATGTATGCTCATCTCGTTCTTTCTGTATTTCATCACATTTAACTTCATAATTTTCAGTCAGTCGGTGTTGGTCGATACAATATAGCTTCACCAGTCCGAGATGAAACGATCGCCGATAGACGCAAACGATCAAAACGAAAAGGTATCGGTTTCTCTTCCACAACCCAACGTTTCACAACCGCGAACGGTGAAGCATTGCTCAAGTAAATTTCTCTTTTCAAATTCTCGTTTCATCCACCATCTCGTTTCATTGTAGCGAACGTTTAAAACCGCAAAATCTTCGTCCAGAACAACGAACACAATTATATCTCACCGGTCATGTTTCATCTTAATTGCATTTGGTGCTTTCTCTTCACTGCTGCATACTGCCTTCCATCAATTTTTGCATTTTTCTATTTTGTTCTGAATGATATTTATAAAAAATTTTCTACGAGTTTTTTCTACAACTGAATGATAAAAAACCACAATCATGCTCAGTTTCTTACTAGATATTATGCTGCTCTCCTCCAGTCATGCTAAACCCACCGATCTATTGTATGTTATGCACGCATTGTTTTTATATTTGCAAGCATCGTCTCTTTCGTCACTAGTGACTTTCAAGGTGTTCGAAGACGAATTTTTCTCGCTGCAGATTATTCGACAAACGATGAACGTTTGAAGTCGTTACCAACAGCAAACAACATTCTCACCGAATACGGTGAGCTGGATCATGCTGACGAGCAATTCGAGTCGTATGTTCACCCGGTGATCGATCAATCTCAATGGATTGTTGACCGTCAACGCGAGCGTCATGAACTTGATCGTTTCGGAGATATTCTTGATTATTATCAACATAAACCAAATTTGAATGATTTCGAAAAACGGGTGATTAAACGCATGACACGTGTTCATCGAGCTGTTCAAACCGAAGAAGAGCCGGAAAACCTGCTGAAATCGAACAAGAATCGCAAACGCGAACAGACCGTTCGCGTTCCTCCATCGACTTCCATGAAGCGAATCGAAGAATTTCTAGCTGAAAACAAATGGCGACTGGTTGACCTATTCCGAACGTTAGATTTAACAAAATCATGGACAGTTGTTAAAGAAGATTTCATGCGTTTAGCTGCAAGAGTAAGAAATCCATTGATTCACGTTAAAGCACGTCGAATGTTGTCTGTAGGAAAAGCTTCATATGACCGAGAAAGAAACGGATGAATTACTTACATGTATTTGCGAAGAAATTCATACGGCAATGAATTACAAGAAATTTGCACATGGAAGATCGCTTTACAAGAAGAGTCTCCGAAGTAAAATCATATTAAAACTAATCCTTCGATAATGTTTTTCATTGTTTGACAAGATCTCGAAGAACCGTCAAACAACCAATCTCAAACCACCGATCCGTCACATCATTTCCCAGTGCGAAACACCACATCGTCTTACGTTCGGTCGACCATATCATCCTATGCGAAATACAAAGTAGATCATTTCTATTTCTACATTTATTAACTTTTATTCTATTAGAAAACAATGACCTAATGGATCAGGCAATGATACGTATCAATTGTTTTTTGTCTTGTAAAAATAAAAGATTTACAAATAAAGCTGGTTAAACACGCACTAAAATTGTTTTCGTATTGGATATTCATAATTTATGCTTTCTTTCCGATGAACCGAAAAATCTTTTCTCCAACGCGAATATGAATAATAAAATAAGTAATTTTTTGCATCGTCATCGGTCCAACATTGACAAGTATTTATTATAAACAATAAAAAGCTTTTATTCGTATGACATAGCAAAATAATGTCTATGCTTTCCCTTGCCCTTGATCGATTTATTACTATATTAAACTTTGAATGTGTTAAAACAACTTTCTTTTCCAATGTATTTTGGACTATGATACGTGAGCACACTTCGAAAGTACGCTGAATCCACTCGTAATAGTAATGTAGGAGTGTGGCGCATTGATTGATCTCTCATGTATATTTTTTTACCTTCCGATGGTTGCCATAGCTTATAAATTGCGAATCGAGTGCGTTTTAGTCAAGGGCATTGGATGTTTTCTCCACGCGAACTAAAGCACTATTTTGCTCAATGTAAGAATGTCAATCAAATCGTTTATCGAGAAAAGAAAACAATTTCATATTCCATTCTGGTATAAGAGAGAGAGAGAAAGAGAGAGAATTTGGTGATTGCTAATGAATGACACGATCTATTTTGATCGTGTCTAAGCAACATTGTTACCTGTTTTTCTTCTATATTAGCAACTCGGAGGCAGCATTAATGCGTCTATATATATATATCTGCTCGAATGGTTGGATTGCTTTTAGAAGCTATTAATTTTGTTAACGAGAAACCGTTGGATCGACATGGGTACTTGGATAGGTCATATTGCGCCAGGTAATTTCATCGTAGGAGAAGATCCGTTGTTATAATCTACATTTATTTAGGTGTCTTTTTTGTTATCTTCGCCTTATGGTGGCATGTTAATAATTGCCTGCGCTACTTTCGATCATTGGTGAATGAACATGATGAGAAAAGTAGAGCACCAATGAAATTTTCTGGTTCGACAACTTATCCATGCTTTTGTTTGTCGGGTAAACGCGCTCGTCATCTACCGATTGAAAGTATCATGAAAATTCTAATCACCTCCATACATTTCTCGATTGAAATCATAACCGGTTACAACAGTGAACCACGACCCCATCTCGGCGATGAAAATGCTCACCATACGGCTATGTTATTCGGTTTCTTTCTCGGCTCTTGGGTAGAAGTCCTCGTTCATTACAAAGTTCCATTACCTAAACGAATCACTCAAGTCATGGGCTTCTTAGCCTTTGGTATTGAAGGTTTGATGATGGTTTTTCATTTACATGCACGAAGCATGATCGATGCACATATCCATGAATTACTTGCATTAACTATTTGTTGTTCAATGGTTGGAGCGCTTGGCGAATGTTTCGATCCAAATAATTTCTGGCTTATTGTTGCACGAAGCTTCTTTGCTTTAACACAAGGTACTTGGTTTATTCAAGCTGCGTATGTCATCTGGCCTAAAACAACAAATCCATATTTCCTTTGGGATCCCGAATCACACCGATCAGTTTCGTTGTTAACAATGAGTTATGCATATCATCTGGCTGGTAATGCATTTATTCTCATCGTTCTTTATCTGATAGTTTACATGTTTTCATCGACTTCAACGAAATTAAACATCGATTTGGCCAAAGATGTTGAAGCAAGAGATCAATACAAATTGATTTATGATACGATCGAAGAGGAAAACGAACTTTAACTGAACACTTTCTATTCGATTTCGTGCTGCTTCGTGAACGAGCCTATTTCACGATATGTTTTTTATTTTCAATAAAAGATCTAGTTGTAAATTTACTTGAATATTGATTTGGAGCAGATGGCGTTACATGTCGGCAGATGCTTCATTGAAGATTTCGTTTAGTTCTTCACCATTGTATTTTGCTTCTCTATGAGGTATAAATGAAGCACGAATACGAAAGAAAAGTCAATCTTCTGTAGGGGTATTTACTTACCACAAACGAAGAAAATGATGATTCAGTCACGTATGATATTCATGCTTAGTGACAACTGCCCCACCGTCGTGCCAAACGGTATCCGGGACGAGTCTGATCCATTTCGTTTGTTGGTTATTTTTCCGAACTCTAACGAAAAGAACTAGAAATATAAACATGATGATTGAATAGTGCAACTAACAACTCTATCATTACTGTTGTTACACAATTTTTGTATATAGGTTCGCACTTATCAAGCATGAAGTGTGACATTTCTTTTTTTTGTACCGATACTCCTACATGAAGTGCATTGGAGCGTAGAGCCGCGTGTTGTGAACAGATGTGTCTACATAAGAAGTATAGATATGTCATTTTTGTGACACATGTTGCCTAATACGAAGTATTCTCCTAAACATCAATCAGTTCTTCGGATTTGGCGGCGTCGATATTCATTTCATCTTGGCAAATTACGATGCAAATGGGTTATGTATTTTTGTGTCGCTTTTCTATTTCTTGTTTTTCTTCTACCTAATCCGTTTGCATCTCGATATGACAAATTAATGATTCGACAAGATATTCGATGGGAGGGTATTTCTGAAATCCTAGAAGAAAAAGAAAAAGTAATGGCCACACGATTTCTATGTAGAAATAACCTAGAACTTTGTGATTACTAGATCCTTGTTGAAGATCCATTCTCGAAGCAAGTAAAATTCAGAAGATATGGTAAAGAAGAACTTTCATCAACGAGACCGGTTCTTATCCTTCTCTACACGACGATTTTTCTTAGTAAAAAATACTGCAAATTGAAGCAAGTTGAGCATATCTTCGGTGAAACTTGCCCATCAAAACATCGCTGTCAATGGACGTGCGACGTTCGAAAACTCAATGAAGCCGACGCTGTTATTTTTCACGGATACGATATGCAATACTATCCAAGTGAAATGCCAAAACGTTCAGATACCAAGTCTGACGCCATATGGATACTCTGGTCTGATGAGCCGCATTCTATGGTTGATTATAGTCTGTTCAAAGACTATAGATTCAATTGGACGATAAGTTTTAAACTGAACAGTGAAGTTTCCATTGGTTCGTATGGTTTATTTCAAAAACGAAATGTTCCACAATTAGATTCTGAACATCGTCTTTGGATAGAACGACAGTTTCGTGATCGATCTAATGCCGCACTTTGGTTTGTCTCGAACTGTGAGGCTCGAGAACGTTTACAATACTATCGAGATCTCCGTCGAGAAGCGAATGTCTACGTGGAAGGCTACGGTCGTTGTGTTGATTACTATCCGATGCATCTATGTGCAGCTAGTAGTCAATGTGAAATTGATTATATGTCGAAGTTCAAATATTATCTCAGTTTCGAATCGATTACGTGTCGAGATTACATCACAGAGAAGTTCTTCAAAGCATTTTACCATGGACTTATCCCGATTGTTTACGGACCCGAGCGCAAAGATTACGAACGATTTGCACCAGCTGATTCGTTCATACATGTGAATGATTTTAATAAAAATATGAATAAATTAGCGAATTATTTATTAGAAATTCATTTGAATTTGACTTTGTTCGCCAAATATCATCAATGGAGAAAAACACATGATGTAATTATCGATGGGAAAGCATTGGAAAGGATTCGAATGTGTGAATTATGCGAACGTTTAACTAGAGTACGTCGAGAAGATGTGACTTATTACGAAGATATCAACGAATTTTATCATGAAAAATGTTAATCAAGCAAAAACCTTTGTTTTATCTAATAAATAAGATCAGTTTCACGCATTTGTTCCAAACGATTGACATCTAGATTGCTTAAACCGTCATAATCATGTTCAAATTCAGTCGAGCCGGATATAACAGTAGACTGTAGACAGAAATCTTCGGTGTACTCAGGTTGAGAGATCGACACACGTCTCGAACCGACAGTTTCCGGCCAATAAATTTGTGCCGAATGAATTTTATTAAAAAGGCATAAACTAACCGCTCGAGCCACGTTTCCTTGAAATGTTCGACTAGAATTCATTCATAAATGTTCATACTCCTTCTACAACAAACAAAAGACGTACCCGTTATCTACCATCAGTTGATCAATGATACTATCTTCGTCGTCATCATCATCGTCTAAAGTAAAATTTCCATCTTCTTCTTCGATTCCATCACTTCGTGCAACCAATCGTTCGAATTCATAAGATCCTCCGACACTGTCACTATTCTTCATCGAGCAATCTTTCAACTGCTCCTTCAATCGTTCCAATGTTTGTTCTTGCTACAAAACAAAACCCACAGACATCGATTGTCTTGAACAAACTCTGTTTTTTTTTCTCATTACCATGGCAAAGACATAGTTCAGTTGATGATTATCCAGTATAGCATTATTCAGATGTTTCTTCGTCAACAACATCGGCCGACAATTAGCATGTAGAAATCGTCCTATTGTTTTCTGATGTCTTCGTCTAGCATACGGATCACGACAGACTTCGATGATCTAAATTTCTGACGTTCTTCGTCTCTATCAAATAAAGAATCGCTGCACATACTTTTGGTACAAATACAAAACCTAGCGTTGAAGTTGCACAAATGATAATAAACATTGAGATGAGTAAATAGGAAAGTTGGATTTGTTCAGATGGAATAAATGTAACCAAGGAGCCCAGTGTACAACAAATAAATACAATATATACACTTAAACCTATATATCGTGAATCATTCAGAGCTGGAATCGTCACATGCCGAGTTTTCCACGAGAGAAATGATCCAAAGAACTACATAGATATTCGACAGAAATCGATTTCAGTTATAAGAAGTCTTACCATTAGCAAACCTTTGTATAAAATGAGAATAAGAAGCCAAACTGAAGTGAATTCACCCTTGCAGACTTCGTAATAGGGCTGGATTTGAACATCTTCGTTAAGCTGCAAGAAGATTCGAGAATGTAGAATGAATTGTTATCAAATGCAAGTACTTCGTGCGTATATGGGTCATCACGCATTATCTTTCGATGTATAGGATCGAAGATTTGCCAGAAAATCAAAAAGAACAAATCAATACACAACAATGCACCAACTACTGCTAATAATCGCGAATCATGAATTGCCTAAAGAGAGGAAAATAAAATAGACATCTATGCAGAGTTTCGAATCTTCGTTTACCTTTTTAGTTATATGAATATTAGTAAAAATCGAATGGACGCGCCACGTTTTGCTGAACATCGAGCCGAACGCCAAAGTGAAACTAATACTCAAAAGCCATACTCGCATCTAAATACATATTCTTTATTCTTCTCTGTCATTCGTCAACCTTACGTACTGCACAAATGATATTCATAATCACATTTGTATAGCTCTTTTGTGGAAATAGCGACGAATTGACACCCATTAGGATAGTGGTGACATAAGCTAACATGCATCCACATAGAATGATGTTATTTAGTGATGGACTTGACATTCGTATGTATCGATGTGAACGATAATGAATATTGAAGATGAATAAGGATATGGATATAATTAAGCCGATTCCACTGAAGATTGTTATTGAAAGAAATACAGAAAGATAAATATGTTCAAATTGAACGATTTGATCCGTTCGATCGGTCGTTGGAGTGTTTCCTAAAGAGAGTTCGTTTTCCCTAAAGTTTGCAAATGATTCAGCGTGTGTACGAACCGTGCCATGTGACTGGGTTTAATTTGTATAAAACAGGTGGTTCGGTTTTCGAGTCAGAATTCTTCGCGAGAAAAAGTTTCACAACGGTTAAGTTACAATTTTTATCTTCTTCGTAACATGGAATTTTACATGATCCATCTTTCATCATTCGACAAGCTGCAAAAAAACATTCACCAAACATAAATTTTCACATTTCGCTTACCAACGTATTGTTCTACGAGAATTTCACCCACTCGTCCGCTATTCATAAATCTCACCCTTCCCTAAATCGAACAATTAACTTTCGGTCATCGATGCAAAACGTTTTCTTACAGTAGCACCAATGAAATCGATTTTATCAACAATTTTTCGAATATTCGATTGATTGAACAATACTTTCGATTGATAAATATATGCTAAACTCCACATTGTATCATAAGCGTAAGCATCAAAGTAATTTCTTTCCAGATCAGAAAAGTGTTCGAAGTACTTCAAAACATGTTCTGGTCGTTCCTTTGATTGACAACGAATCTTCGCACAAATTTTTATTCAATTGTTTCTTACTTCGGTATCGTCAATGGAGAAACGTGGTACACGTGTCTGAAATGTTCCATTGATCGCTTTGATGAGCTCCTGTTCTGTACAATCGCTTTTCTCATTCCACCAAGCTGACAATGACGGGTAGCCAAGTATGATCCATTGATAGCGTGAACCATAAACATGCTCTCGAGCAGCCTATTGATCGCATACAACAAACTAAATCTCGACCTTTATTAAATGACTTACATGACAGAACATCTGGGTCGCAATGACTTGATTAAAATTAGCAACAATTATTCGAACATCTCTCGCCTTCGAAAACAACAATCATCCTCAATTATCAAAAAGCGAAATTCTACCTTGAAATCTTTCAATAGCGTTTTCACATTTTGCCTATTGTCATCTTGCCATTCGGCTCCGTATCGGTACGGTATGCCCCGTGTAATATTTATTTCCCATTGTTTCTTATCCATTACCGTTAAATCAGAAAAATCATTTGCTATCTAAATAAAACACACACACGCGCAGATGATAATTTACCAATGCAACATGCGATACAAGGAAGTGGTTTTACATGTCTACTATTGTCATACAAGAATAGTTTAGTTCTGACGTTAGTCTATTCTCAACTGGTTTCTATCCCGAGCGATTTGTTTATTTGCAAGATCAGTCGCATGCGTTCGCAATTATATAAACAAAATGTCACTAATGAAATTGTGCCATACGAACGGGAGGAAACAGTATACCTATTTTTAGCGAAGTTTTCTTATTGAATGACAACTCACCAGGGTATATTTCGATCCATGCTGATAGATCAGTCCAAATCGTGTCCAATTGAAATATTCCAATAACTGTTTACGCACTAAATTATGAGCATGATCAGACGGTACTAAATGGTAAACAAATGGATAGCGGTCTGTTGCGGATAATGATAAATCACTAGCTGTAAAAGAAAACTAAAGTGACAGATATGAAAAAACGTTCGACGACAATTGGAAATGAATACTCACTACAGGTAGATGAAAATAAGTTGCAGCCTCAGCTATATAACTGAGAACAGCTTGACACGCATCTGTCATTAGAACGTTCAGTGATGTAGTTTGATTAATCATATCGAACAGGACTTTCACACTAGTACCGACATCACACTAAACGGAAAAGAAATAGCGGTCGAAGAGAGATGAAAATTGGTGCCTCGATGAAATACTTACAGGAGTAACATTTTCTCGTTTGTTCAGTTCCAAATCGATATCCATTTGTACTGCTTGGATTTGTTCGAGGGCGAATTTGATCGATGGATAACATGAATGCGTAAACAAAGTACTAAGCACAATTTTTTGTCGTTCCACATAAATGAAATTGTCAGCGAGAATCGAACTGAACAGGAACATCATGAAAATGCATCGATATGATTTGGTGCCCATTCATTTCAATTCAACTGGGTGATCTAAATATTAACAACTAATTGACCTGGTACTCCTCTATCCTCTTCTGTTTTTCTATGTTTCAAACAAATCTCTTTTTTTTTCTTTCTTTTCTTTCCGTTTCTCTTTCTCATGCAATCAATCAATTACTAACCATATACATCCAACGAATGATGAGACAATCTTCTAATCTAACATTCCGACATATCATAGAAATTAACGATTACAATGACAATGAATAACTTACTATCATTACAATTGTGTTCTACAGATCATTAACGACTTGTTCTTGTTGATACGCTGAAGTAGGCACAAGTATGAAAAAGGACAAGAAGAAGAAAGAGGAGAAGAAGAAGAAGAAGCGGCAGCAGCGGCGTCGTAAATGACTTTTCTAATCCGATAAACATCGTCCATTTTCGGCATGTTGCTTTTCATATTATTCGTACTTATGCTGATGAACAATTTCTTGGAAAAAAAAAGAAATTGTCAATTAGGAAAGAGACAACACCCGGAAACAAAAAAAGACATCTAGAAATCGATGTGGATTAGTATATTAGATTTTCTCGTGGCATCTTCATGAGAGAAAGTTTTCCATAACTTTTTTTTTTCATAGGAGAAATTGTATTTGCCTTTTGATGTTTACTCATCACTAACGAATGTTATATTGAAAACAAAAACTAATTAGAGCTTTCGTATTTGTTAACATAAGTAAATATATCTATTGCTTTCGCCTTTCAAGCATGAAAAACTTATGAAGATAACAATAATAAACATATGAGAATGCGTTTTGTTCGGTAATCGATGAATGCAGAGCACAATGTCAAAGAGATTTCTGCAATGTTACAATGCAAGAGAAGTTTTTACAGAGATTCTTCGTAGTTATTTGATAGAAGATGAAATATCTTTTCTTCGTGTTCAATAAAATTGGCAAAACTAATTATTCTTATTAAGAATTTCGTATGATCACCGTCGACGATCTGTTTACTTAATTTCAACACATTTCTAAAGTATACACATACAACTGATTTGAAGATAACCCACAGGCGAATAATAGAGCTTCTATCATAAAGCAGTGAAATAACGAATCTGTTGTCTGTTTTATCATGTGTAAAAGAGTATATTCCATTTTATGAGTGCTCATTGTCTTATGAATAAGCATATTTTCTAACCTTTATCAACGCAGTGTGTTGTGGCGTACAATGCGTGTGATTGGAAACCATTCAAGAAAACCGTATTTCCTCCATTCATACTCGTGCTAACTAGATATAGATATATTTCACTTCAATAGTAATATAGCAAGTATGTTGTAATACCGATCATACCTTTTCTTTTCCTAGTCAATGTGATAGTTTTCTCAGTAGTTGAAGACAGTTTAACGATTACCAACCGTTAATTAAAGGGCATATATTTCATCTTTTTTTTTATTACGTGCACATATAAATAGCGCTAAATCAATATTTACATACTATTCGGAAGTAGTATTTGTCAGAGCAAATAAGTACACACTACAAGTATTCCTTGGTTTTTCCCAATACTTCATTTCATTCATATATATACTAATACAGGTACATGTCAAATTTTAGTATTTTAAAAAGAAAATAATCAAAACATCGATGGGAAGTGTGATCAGTTTCATCTCTGCTTCAGCTAATGATAATTTAGAAACATTTTCTCTCGCCTGGCTCGATGCTCAGGTCGATTCAATAGAAGAGAACGTAAAAACGGAAGAACAGCTTCGACAAGTCATCAATCATCTCAAAACATTTCATGACAAAA